ATCAAACATTCTAATTTAGAGCTTTGCAGGCAGAGAGCCTAGCAAATGCAAAGGCCCTTGAGGGAAGGATTGCAGGGGCTGCTCAGGGAAAGGGAGGGAACCACCAGCTCTGGGAGGAAGAAAGTATGAAGTCACTGTGAATCATTTAAAGTAGGCGTGCTTTTTTTTTTTAAAGGGGAGCTAAAAATCATTTTCCTATTTTTTAACTAATTTTATCCTACTTTATGAACTCCTGTGTTATTCAGAAAACTTGGAAACGTTCATTCTCCCTCCTACTGAATTTGTGGAGTGGGTGGGAGAACTTTAAAAAGCTCCTCCAAACCCACTTTCCGCTGCCAAGGGGTGTGAAGGGTGGACAGCTGGGCAGTGTGACCAGAGGCGAGAGATGCTTGAGCCACCTTGGCATTGAGCACCTTGGAAGCTTCAACGTCGTTCAAGTCCTGAGGATGTGGCACTGGGCATGGCCCCAATGAGATTGCTTCTGGGAAATAGGAAAGTGTTCTTCAAGGTCAAAAAAATAGTTTATTTTGCATATACTAGAAGGTTATCTTTAAATAATGCAGTGTGATTTCAAAAAAAATTGCACAAAAGAAATAAAAAGATAATTACTCTGATTTGTTTCCTTCCTGAGTTGGTTAGCCTCAGGATCAGTTGGGGATTTTCTCCAATTCTACACTAGCTTTCTAAGCAGAGTCCTTCATAAAGTTCACTAAATTAGTGGACTAATTAATGGCTGCTTAGATTTCAGAGGCTAGTGGCAAGACTAAGGAGTTGGGGAATGGGTTGGCTCGATCATCTTTTGGCTGGGAGACATGAAATTTGAGGTATATTCTTCAAACAACCTGGAGGTTTTGAAGGAAGTGTATTGGGACACAGTGATTAGCCAGTCAAACAAAAGACCCCTTAAAACATCAAAAACAACAAAAAGGCAAGCATGAGTAGGTGCTTTGTGCCATGAAGGAGTGGTGCATGGTCTGTGAGGATATTTAACTAGAGAGGCCCCCATTGGTCCAGAGCTGATAGGATGGTCTGGATTGATGTTTGGTAGGAACAAAGGTGGCTAAGGTGACTTTCACTGCCTCTTGTATTGTCCTTTTTTCTTGGGATGGGGTAGAGATGAGGATATAGATGAGGTAGGTAGGTAATGGTTCAAGGTAGTTGGTAGGGCCTGGAGCAACTCTTGTGATTTCTTTTGGATGATTGAATGAGAGAGAGAGGTCTTGTTTTAGGCAAGTTTATAATGGGTCTTCTAAAAGTTGAGGACCACCAGAGGTGGTCAGTTAGTATCCTGAGCTTTTCCTAGACCTCCTGTCCACCCATGCTCTTCCAAATTTGCATTGACTCAAGTGAAGAACCCTCAAGTTGAAGGGGACTCTCATCCTAGTGAAAGACATTGTGCATTGTTGCTGGGCCTTGCCGTTAGGAAGGCTGACCTCGGTCAGCCATTGGTTTCTCTGGCACTGGGCTGTCTGAAGGTTGCCCGGTAGCATCCGGTTATGTCAGGGAAGGGATCTCTCTAGGCTGGTCCATTCAAGGAACCAGCTTACTCCGATCTGTCATCTTCGTGGTCCACAGCATTTACTTTGCCATTTTTGGCTTGAGATTGCTCAGGTTGTTACTTGACCACAAAGTGGAAATCTGGGAAGAGAAGTGCTCAGCTGGCTTGGCGGGTTTCCAGGCACTGCATTGATCTGCAGTGTCCTACTCTGTGGGCAGGAAGGACCTGATCTGAGTGCTGTGTGCCTTGGAGCCGTTCCTCGAAGGCCACCTTGATGATGGAGTGCTCCCAGACCCTCTGTTCTGCCAGGGTGAGCCTGCACAGGTGTATGAGGGCTCAGTCCGTGCTGAGTCTGGACAACTTCAGTAGTTTATCTGGAGGCATTGGCATTGGGTACAGGAGGCCGCCTTCACTTACCTAGTTTGCATCCTGGCTGCTGGCATTTTATGTATTTTTATTTACTTAAAATAAAAAGGAGTTACTAGTAGGTGATGGTTGTCATAATGTGATGTAGGGAATGGATAAATGTACTAAGAATATTTAACTCCCTCAAAGCCTGGACCCTTGAATGCTGCCTCAGGGATGCTTAATTAATGAGCTTAAGGAGTGAAAGATTCCCTTTTCCAAATGGGTACCAGAGTCTGGGCACCAGAATCACCTGAATAATTCTTGGGTCTTCAAATCAGAGACTCTGATTTGATGGGTTTGGGACCCAGGACATTTTTTTAGAGAGAAGAGCTTGTCAGTTAGAGATCTAGGGAAGCTCTTCTCACTTTTCAAGTGAATTCTGCCTGCTTGTTTTCTTGTCCTGGCCTTGAACACTGAGCTCTGACCATGGCCATGTACTTGGTCTTCACTCCTATTTATACCCCTTTCCAAAAGCTTGTCTTTGGGGGATGCTATCCCCGCTCTCAATACCCCCCCCCCTCGTTTTGCCTCAGCCTAGGTCAGGAGTGTTGCCTCCTCTCTCTTATCCATGAAGAACAGGACAACTCCTCCTGGGACACTTTCTCATAAAACCTCCTGCTTGAGGCTTGACTGCATAGTAGATTCTGGCCCTGGAAACCCAGGCCCTGGGCTGGAGACAGGACCATGTTGTGACTGGCACAGGGGAAGACAGTGTTGACTGTCTTCTCAGAGACCTTGTTTCTTCGGCCCTGCAGACCCTGGGATAGCACTGGTTGCATTGCCGTGGAGCAGGTACACTCTTCATAAGGGCACCTGTCGAGATAAATTTCCAAGAGTAGCACTGGTTACATTGCCGTGGAGCTGCTCAGCAGATGTGGGACACATGGCACCTGTCGAGATAAATTTCAAAAGATATATATATATATATATATATATATATATATATATATATATAAATAGATATAGATAGATATAGATAGATATAGATATAGATATAGATATAGATATAGATATAGATAGATATCAATATCTATCTATATCTATATCTATATATATTTATATATATATAATCCATATATATTTATGGATTTCAGAGAGGAAGGGAAAGGGAGAGAGAGATAGAAACATCAGTGATTAGAATCATTGGCTGCTTCTTGCATGGCCCCTACTGGGAATCGAGCCTGAAACCCTGGCATGTGCCCTGACCAGGAATTGAACCGTGACCTCCTGGTTCATAGGTTGACGCTCAACCACTGAGCAACATTGGCGAGGCAAGGTGGGGCTTTTTAAGACCTCTGCGGTCATGTGAGATTTGGACTAGGCCTCATTGGAGGGGCTGCTGTCGTCCTTGCTTTTGCCCATGTTGTCCTATGACCTGTAATTCTCACCTTCCCCTCAGTTTGCCTCCTGCCTGCTCCACTCCCATCCCTGCTTAGGGCTTCCTCGGGCCTCTGTCCATGCAGGGAAGCGTCTGTTCACCTCAGCTGCACTGGAAGCCCTGCTCAGTGCTCCCATAACACGGTGCCTGCGCAGGTCTTTACAGTTACCCACTGTTTTCACATTCTTTCCGAGTGTCTGGGCCCGTCTTTTACCCAGACAGAGCAACTTAAGGGCAAGGACTGGGGCCTGTTCATCTTTGTATCTCAGTCACCTTGCACACTGCCTGGCGTGTAACAGGCTCAGTAAATACCTGCTGAGTGAATGAATCAATACATCAGTTGAGGGATGATATAAATAACTCCCACCAAGGGCTTCTAGTTGTGAACATCATTCACTTATTACAGTGCTAGTACCTTGCATGTAAGCTTATTTATAGCCTTGTAAAGGGGAATTTTTCTAGCATAAGGAATATATTTTAGACAGTTTCGGACATTAACTGAACACTTTTGAAGTAGTAGATGCATTGTATTTGTGATAATTATTTTTGTACTTAAAGCAGCAAAATTATTGAAAATTTCACATTCAGAAACAAACCCTTAGGAAACCTGATAGCATTTACTCTTATTTATTTATTTATTTATTTATTTATTTATTACAAATGAAGGTATGGAGAGCATTTTAGTACAAAGTGGATACTTCTAATGTATTTCCTTGAATTTAGTATTAGCTTTGAGACACACACACACGCATGCACACACACACAGATCTCTCTCTCTCTCTCTCTCCCTCCCCTCTCTATCTGTCTATCTATTATCTGTCTATATAATATTTATTTTTTTGGCTTCATGCTATGCAATGGGGCATAGTGAAAGTTTGTGGATTGGCAGTCAAGAGACCTAGATTCTAGACCTGCTTTCCATTATAAAATGGGAGTGGTTGTACTTGTTCAGGGATTGCGAATGTCTACAGGAGTGAGCTTACTAACTTAAGTTGCTATATGTGCTCTACCATTCATTTTCCTCTTGGCTATATGTGCTCTACCATTCATTTTCCTCTTGGAATTCACAGCCCCCTTTTCTTCTGTTTTCCCACTTTTGTTAAAATCATAGGTAGCAAGGGCAGTGATATTACAATTACAGCTCTTCTCTGTAAATTACAATTCCAGCTCTTCTCTGTGTTGAGACACTAGGGAGTGATGGGGACTGTGGCATTGGGATAACCAAGCTTGCCTATGAAGGGCAGCTACTACTTAGTATCAGCTGATCATGTTCAGACACGAATATGAGCCCATTTTGAGATCCTCTGAATTTTTTTTTAAGAGAAGCCAGAGGTCTTAGTTCCAGAAGTCTGGGTTTTATGATGTCTCTGACTTTTTAGCTTGGCTTGCATTTTCTAAACATACCCTGTAATTCAGTGTAATGCCAGTACAGGCTAGATGTGACCCACTGGGCTTTCACTTTGTGCTCCCATTGTACATGATCTCTAGTGCTTCTTTCTGCACAAGATCCAGTGATTCTAAAGGGGACCATTTCAGCTGGTGAACTGAAGATTCTTGTTCTACTGGGGAAGTCAGAATGGGAAGGGAGTGGGCTGGAAGAGGAGGGGAGGAGGAGCTTTGAGTCTAACAGGGTGCCTTGGTGTTTGGGTGGCCTCTTTGGAGAGAGGCCACAGGTGCCTGATTCATACCAGATGTTCTGTATGTTTGTCATTGCAGGACGCGGCATTTGTCGGAAGAGTCTGTGAAACCCTCTCTCTACCCAGAGCTCCAGGACCAATGCATCTTTCCATCGCCCTAAACCGCTGGTGAATGTATGTGTGTTTTTCTTCTGCAGTGAAGGGAAATATTTTCAGTGGGCGATAGGATGTGATTCTCAGGGAACAACACTGTCCTTTCTATTATGGAAGGAAAGGAGGGCTGGACCTCAGCATATCTGGGTTCTGGTACCTACTGGGTTCTGCCACTTTTACTGTGGGATGTTAGGTGAATTGTTAGACCTCTCTGGGCTCCAGACAGAAATGAATCCTGCCCTGCTAAAAGAGATTGCCTAAGTGAGAACACTTCCAAGGGAATAAAATGCTTGGCAAATATAAGGTAATCCTATTTGGCAGGGCAATTCTAAGCTAACAAATAAAACATGAATACATGATGAAAATGTGAATTGTAAATACCTATTTTCTGAGACTTACAGACTTTCAAAGATTTGCATTTCTTTTCTTTTTTCTTTCTACCACCGTAGCTGCTGTGTTTTTTTAAAAAAGACAAATTAATTACATTTCAGTGTTACCTTTATTTTTATTTGCAATCAGATAATTTCACAGTTTACAAATGCAAAGGGGGCTGTGAGTTTCCTTTTTGGAAAGAAACTGATTTACTCATTACAACAGTAAACGTTTTGCCTCTGTGCAGTTGAAAGACGCGAAGATATGTGCTTAGCAATAGTGTGTTCCAAAGCTGAGGGGAGGCTGCTTTGAGGCCCGCCGGCTAGCTGATGTGGAAGGTCTTGTGTGAGCTGTGGAGGAGCCAGGAGGCAGGTTGGCCTGTGCTATGTGATTCCAGACACTCTCTTTTGGGGAAAGCTGGCTTGTCTGATGCTGACTGCCTGGTCAGCTCCCTCCATGTGGACCAGGTGCTCTTGTGTCCCTGTGAGACAAACCCCAGTGGCACGACCATCTGGGGAGCTTGCAGGGTGCTGGGCGCTGGAGCAGGAAGGAAGGGCAGGCAGTTGGGACAGGCAGGCCTGAGGTTAGGGACCCATCTCAGACTTGAAAAGCTGATTGTCCAGATTACTGTGTCTAAAGGGACACGGTGGACATTCTGGGCCCCGTTTAACTGGAGTCCCATCTGGTAGGCAGGAAGGCTCTGGGATGGGAGTCCCCAGGGGAGCAGATGGCCTCGGGTGGGTGGGACACTTTACCCATTCAGCAAACATGTGTTAATGTCCTCTCTGTACCAAGGCACCGCTCTGGGCACTGGAGACAGACTGTGTGCATGTTTCCCTGGGGCTTAGATCTGAGAAAGGGTGACAAGAATGTGAGCTCCACTGGGGCAGAAGTCTGCTCATTTCATTCACCGCTGTATCTCCAGCTCTGAGAAGAGCACCTTGCTCTTGAGAATCATCCAAATGCAGATGATATTTAAAATGAAGAGACTGGAGGAGATCACCCAGGGAGAGAACAGAGTGATAGGTAAGATGTGAACAGAAAAGAGGGAAGGCAAAGCGTGCATTTTCCACATAAAATCTCTACTAAGAAGTTAATGAAGGCACATGCTAATGAATATATGATTTCATGTAATGCAAATATAAATCATTTAAATAAGATAACATGATATGAGTATTAACAAAGCCTCTTCTTATATAAAAATATTGGAAATACTGTGACTCCCCTAAAGCAAGAAAATTAATTTTAGTTCAGACATACAGAGAATAGGTTGGTGGTTGCCAGAGGTAGGGGGTAGGGGGGTAGGGAATGGGCAAAATGGGTGAGTCAAAATGTATAATCTTCCAGTTCTATATAATAAAAGGCTAATATTGCAAATTGTCCCCTCTACCAGGAGTTCAGCCTGGAGTTTGACCAGGGGGCAGGGCCGGCCAGCTAATAGCCTGTAGCCCCTCCCCCTGGCCGACCCCACCCCCCCCATCGCCCCCATTCCCCAGCCGGGGGCAAGGCTGGCTGGCCAACCACCCACAGCCCCTCCCTCCGGCTGGCTGGGCCCAATCGGCCCCGATCTGGGCGGGCCAGCTGGATCCCACCAGTGCATGAATTCGTGCACCTGGCCTCTAGTTATAAAATAAGCAAGTCCTAAGGAAGTAATGTACAGCATAGCCACTATATTTAATAATATTATATTGCATATTTGAAAGTTCCTAAGAGAATAGTCTTAAAAGTTCTCATCACAAGAAAAAAAAAATTCTGGAAAAAAAGAAAGAAAATTCTGTAACTATGTATGGTGATGGATGCTATCTAGACATATTGTGGTGATCACTTCACAGTATATATTAATATCAAATCATTATGGTGAACACCTAAAACTAATACAATGTTGAAAGTCATACCTCAAAAATATATAAAATGAAAGAATATTCGTTTTAGAATTACATAAAATTTAAATCTGGTTAGCTAAGTGAATTAGAAACTGCATTTATGCAGTTGGCACAAGGCTGTGCCTTTGGCTGGCAAGCAGAAAGATTCAGCATCCTTTGCCAGTAGCTTGTAAACTACACTGTTCTCTATGTGCACTGGGGCTTTACAAGCTATTTTGATGACTATTAAGTTTAATTCACTGTTAGTGTTTCAGATTTTTTTCATCCTATAATCATATCATCCAAAAGTTCATTAAATGAAGGTGCACTGAAAAATCAGTCACTTTGCAATAAAAGTTAGATGTGATAACATTTCATGAAGACGGTCAAACAGGCACCATGATTTGCAGTACCTCAGTTTAGGACAGTGATGGCGAACCTTTTGAGCTCAGAGTGTCAGCATTTTGAAAAACCCTAACTTAACTCTGGTGCCATGTCACATATAGAAATTTTTTGATATTTGCAACCATAGTAAAACAAAGACTTATATTTTTGATATTTACTTTATTTATTTAAATGCCATTTAACAAAGAAAAATCAACCAAAAAAATGAGTTCGCGTGTCACCTCTGACACGTGTGTCATAGGTTCGCCATCACTGGTTTAGGAAGTAATTAGGATGTCTTTGAAATGATAAAGAATAAATGCTACAAGATGAAGAGCAGCAAAAATATACTCTGATGCTTGTACTAGATCTATATGTTTCCAGTACCACCCAGAGCCCTCTACTGCCATTGACTGAGGAGAAAATCAGTTCTGCATCCCACACATTCTCAACTATTTGTGGGCTTCTGGCATAAAACACAGCTGTTACATACTGGTTTTATCCATTTTCTGGACAAACTGCCCTGCTGAGCTTTCTGCATAGTCTCATTGGGCTCCTTAGTTTTTCCATTTTGAGGTGCATTTCTTTAGTCTTGTTATCTCCCGCCCCCACGGACAGTGTGGTCCCCTTCCCACAGTTACCAGCTCAAGGCCCGCCAGCCTCCTCTCTCTTGCCTTGAGCTTGGACCCCGTCTCTTTCTTGCCTGCCCTGGTGAGCTCCCCAAGTTTAGCTTTCTCTAGGCTTTTTGTTTAAAATGTTGGGAAACATTTTCACTTTTTGCCCAGGCCTGGTCTCCTCAGGCCTTTCTCAGGAATGACAGAAGAATAGGACTTAGTGCAGTACTGAGGGCAGAGGGATACTGCAGCATTCTGCCCTGTGCTGTTGCAAATCACTTGGGAAATGGACAGCCCTAACGTGCTTTTACATGCATTTCAAGACCCTCCTATTTCAGTGAAATATTCTCAATGGGACTTCTTTAGCATCTAATCTCTGAAAAGCAAGCATTGATTGTACAGTGTTCTATATCTGTAACCAGCCATTTACGGCAAAATGAAGGTTTCAGTGAAGTGATATTCATGACTATTGTCATCAACCCTGTTGGTTTTCATTTGTCTTCTGATCCCACAGAATGGAATCTAAATAAGATTAAAAAAGAAATGAAACTTACAGACAGTCATGTTGGGGAGATTTCTCCTCCCTGTTTACTTCTTCAGTAAGTGATTTTAGGAATAAAAGGATGGCACTTTCTTGGGCCCCTAGAGACTTAGAGTGGTGGGCCATTTAAAAATGGTGGTGTCCTCCTTAAGTTAAAAGCAGAACAGTGCTGCCCAGCCAGGTAGCTCAGTTGGTCAGAGGGTCATTCAATGCACCAAGGTTGTGGGTTGGATCCCTGGGCCGGGCACATATAAGAAGCAACCAATAAATGTAGAAATAAGCGGAACAACAAATCGATGTTTCTCTCTCTCTCTCTCAAATCAGTCAATAAATTTTTTTTTTAAAGTAGAACGATGCGTGAGTTTGACATGCTTGATGTAGACCATCTCAGGATGAGGTGCTGGAGATGAGTAGCCTTGTGGGGAAGGCAGTGATGTAAGAAGGAGACTTATTTTTCACTGTGTAGCCATTTATACTTCTAAATTTTTTGTGTCATGTTTATGTATTAGCTTTAAAAAGCATAACAGTATCCCTTTTAGGCTTAATCCACGATCTACAAATATTTAGAGTTCCTTCACTGCTTGGTTTTCTGAGTGCTTTTGCTCGACGTGTGTTTTGATTGAGGTGATTGCCTGTTCACTGTCCACTGCCTTTGCTTGTTTGAGGCTTCGTGTTCATAAGCAACTTGAGACTAGCATCTTAAAAGTTGAGTTTCAAATTTTTGCATATCAGGCCAGTTTCTTTCCTCCTTCCTTCCCTTCTTTCAAAAAGGATTTAAGGCTGTTTCTAGCCAATATTTTTAAAATATGTTTTTTATTGATTTCAGAGAGAGAGGGAGAGGGAGAAGGAGATAGAAACATCAATGGTGAGAGAGAATCATTGATTGGCTGTCTCCTGCACACCCCCTACTGGGGATTAAGCCCACAACCCAGCCTGTGCCCTGACTGGGAATCGAAGCATGAACTCCTGATTCATAGGTCAATGGTCAACCACTGAGCCGTGTCAGCTGGGCTAGCCAATATGTTATTCAGCTGTTTTAGACAAATATGGATTTGAAATGAGTTATAATTGCCATGAGCTGAGCCACAAATTCTGGCCCTTTCAACTGGACAGCTTCTCTGCCGCCTTCCTGAGCAAAGGCTTAGTGCATTGGAGAACAGGACAGGGCTTTGGGAATCTATTGTTTTTGATAGTTTCTGACTCCAAAGTTCAGTCAAATTTCATTAAGAATGTCCACTACTGTAGGAA